ATATATGTTTGTCTGTCTAAAACAGGTCTCTCTTGAAAATGAGTCCTCATAACTCAATGAGGTTAACCTGTATAAATAAAGGTTGAATGACAATGAGTAAAAGTTCGCTATCTAAGGATGGAAGCCATCAGATTGCATTGAATCTTCACTTCTTTGCAGTCTCCCATCCTGAGCAAGTACAAAGGCAACAGTGGAAAGGAAAAACTCCCTTTTAACAGGAAGAAAGCTCAGGAGAAGCAGTCATTTGCTTCGACCGGATGGGGTTAAGAGGACAGGAAGGAGAGACAAACGAACACAGAATGGCAGGTCCAGATGTAGGGGCAGGTGAACCCCATATTGGAAGAAAGACAAAAACACATAAAGGATAGAAAAAAATTTCATCTACAAAACAGGTTGAGCAGAGTATTAAGACAATAACATAGTGAAGAAACATGGTCAGTTTGTCCTCCAGCAGTCTAAGCCTATAGCAGCTTAACTAAGGAATAGCTCAGGAAACCCAAGCCGACCCTAACTATAGGATTTATCCAAAAGAAAAGACTTAAGCCCAGTCTTAAAACTGGACAATGTGTCAGCCTGGGCGGCTGTGACTGAGTGGTTAGAGCAGTCATCCTCCAATGCAAGAGTTGGGGATTCGAATCCACAAGCACTCACATGCCGAAGTGTCCCTGGGCAAGACACTGAACCCCTCGTTGCCTCTGATGTGTGTCCCATCAGTGTATGAATGTGATAAAACACTGGTTAGTCGCTTTAGAATGATTTGTTCAATTAGCTTTGTAGAGATCTAGTAGAGAGCTGTATGAATGGGTAAATGAGGCACAGATCGTAGTGGAAAGAGCTTTGAGTATCTGGATCAGATAGAAAAGCGCTTTATAAGTACAGTCCATTTAGCCTCACGGACAAAATCTGTAAGTTGGTTCCACAAGAGAAGAGCCTGATAACTGAAAGCTCTGCCTCCCATTCTACTTTTGAAAACTCTAGGAGCCACAAGTAAACATGCAGACTGAGAGCAAAGTGTTTTTTTGTTTTTTTTTAGGAAAATATGGAACAATAAGATCTGTAATATAAGATGGAGCTAGGTTGTTAAGCGATTTGAATGTTAGAAGTAAGATTTTGAAATCTAAATTTGACAGGAAACCAATGGAGAGAAATTAAAACTGGATAAATATGATCTCTCCTGTCAACTCTCATTAAAACGTTGGCAGCAACATTTTGGATTAACTGTAGACTTTTCAAAGAATTTATTGGTTACCCAGATAATAAACAATTGCAATAGTCTAAACTAGATGTGATAAATGCATGGCCAGCTTTTCTGTATCATTTTTGGACAAGATGTTCCCAATGTTGTTGATATTACTGTAACATTTTTGATATGGGGGTTAAAAGACATATCCTGATCAAAAATAACACCAAGTTTTTTTACATTAGAACTAGAGGCCAAATTAATGTCATGCAGAGAAAGTGTAAGACTGCCAAGTTTATTCCTAAGATGTTCAGGTCCAAAAACCAAAACCACAGTTTTGTCTGAGTTTAAAAGCAGAAAATTAGGGGACATCCAGGTTTTTATGTCTTTAAGTCATGCTTGTAGTCTAAGTAACTTATTGGATTCATTGGGTTTCAAGGACAATTAAAGCTGCAACTAGCATTGAAGGCCATCGCAGAAAAGCGCAGCTCCAGCTTTACCTTGACCACAGGAGCTCCAGCTACTCCACCCAGTCGCAATCATGAATGCTCTCATGCCTGTCCTCCACTCGTTCACCACAGGGCACATTTCCCGAATCTTCAACATCACCTTCCGTCCATGTCTGTACTTGTCCATCTTCAGGTCTTACAAGTATAGGTGAAATCTGACCTTCCAGACATGAGTTATTGTGACTTCCTGTTTTGTGGCGAATGTTTGACGAGCACTTCCTTTATGCTTTTCAACATGTTGTGTGGTAATCAACAGTTATTGAACA